AAAGGGATCGCCGGGCCCAGGGAGAACCCGAGAGGGGCAGGAAGCCCTGGCGCAGAGACTCCGGGAACGCCGCTCCTATGGCAGCTATCTCCAGGGCTCGTGGGGATTTTTTAAGCCATTGTTTTATTTCATGCCAGCTAGGAGTCGATCCCCTTCTCTCAAAAATGGAAATACACGAAAATTTAAAGTCATAATACTAATGAATCAAAGCCGTCCTTTAGGCTTTTTTATCTCCCAGCATCTCAGTGTGATCTCTGGTCGCCGCGCCTTAGACCCAAGCAAGAAGGGTGGGTGCCTAACCCACCCCCCGCCCCCTTAGAAGAGGGCCTCCTCCAGCTCCCGTTTGCCCAGGAATTGAGGCATTTGGTGGCAAAGCGGACGTGCCCCCTCGGATTTAGACTAATCTCTGGGTATGGAGACCCCGGAATTCCTTCCCTCATCTCCTGGGTTGTCGAAGGGAAGGAATTGTCTGTTGTCCCCAGGGTGGCTCAAGCCCCTGTGTGATGTGCCCTAGGCTCCAGGCCTGTTGAGGCAGGTGGCAGGAGTTTGAATGTGAGGGCAGGGATGTCCAGGAGCGGCAAGAGATGGACGGCCTCTCGCCCTGATGCCCTTGCCTGAGCGGAGTCCCACCCCCCAACACACACACACACACACACACACACACACACACACACACACACACACACACCATGATATGCCCTGTGCTCCGGGAAAAAGAGAGGTGGCTCCGAAATATGAACTACCTTGGTACAGTCTGATGGGCCATGCATGCTCTAGGACACCTGGTGTCGTTGCTGAGGCTTGGTGGGGTCTGCACTGCATTTGAACTTCTCCCTCTACCTGCTTCTCCCCCATTCCTCCCACTCCACCCCACCTTGATCCCTAATAAGTACCCTACAGGCCAAACTCTGTCTCCGCATCTGTTTCTGGAGACTCCAAACTGCAATAATTTGTCGAGATAGTAGGATAGGGTATATTTTATATAACATATGATCGCTGGAGAGTATTGCTTCCATGTGTACTCTTGCCCTAAGCCCTTAAAATGCCAGGGCATGCCTGACAGAGAGGTCAGTACTGAGAGTCTAGGAAGATGCGGGTTTTGTTCTTCGCCCAGCCGCTAGCCAATCCTGGGTATCTTTGAAAAGTCTATTTCTTTTCTCCTTTCAAAAGGGACTTTTTAGTCTCCAAAAGAGTCGTATCAATGCCCAAAGCAGTTGTCTCAAATTTCAAGGCAGCAAAGACAGAACAAAGATCATCCAATGTGTAATTGCAAGAAACAGAATTTTGAGGAAATGAGAAGAATCTGAGATTGGTTTTCTGGGCTGGTTAGGAATAAAAGCCGAGGTTCAAATAGTAAGAGGATTTGAGCTCTGGAAGCACTTGGCATATGTGAAGAAAAACAGCTAGGTAAACTATCATAGATGGTTACCTGGATTGAAGTGCCCACTGAGAGTCCAAGTGGCCATTGTCAAATAATAATAATAACAATACAAAGAGCAAGAGAAACTCAAAGAATGAACTCAAGGGCTGAGTTTGAAACTGGACCACTTAAAGAAAAGTAGTGACCCTCGAATCCTAAATTCTCGGCTCAAAACTTTTAAAAATCTGAATTTTTTTTAAGCTATAGAGATAAAAGAATGCTTTGTTAATTGAACCACAAGATTGAAACAACTGAAAAACCAAACTCACAGTTTCATCTACAGATTGCTAAATGGCAAAACCAACTGAATTATCAACCCCTCCAGATTCCATAGGTACCAGCAGGAAAAATTGGGAATCTGGGAACAGGAATGGGACTCTAAGGGAGGATTTGGGTGATTCCTAGTAACTCAAGCCTCCCAGCCCTCTTGGCAACAGAAGCAGACCCACTTCCTCATGCAGTGAGTCTGTTCCTGTCTTGTTTGAAGATCCTCTTCTCACCTCACTAAGGCAGTAATCTGGGAAAGGGAAGCCAATCTCTTCCCACCCCTCTCATACCACCTCTGACTAGTCCCACTCTTAATACTTGAACTAGACCCAGGCATACCCTAGGAGACCAATGACAAAATCAACTCCTAGAAGAGAAAGAATTGCAAGATCTACTTTTTTTTTTTTTTTTTTTTTTGAGTTGCGTTGAGTTGAGGTCTCATTCTATCACCCAGGCTGGAGTGCAGTGGCATAGATCATGACTCACTGCAGCCTTGACCTCCTGGGCTGAAAGGACTACCCTCGTCAGCCTCCCCGGTAACTGGGACTACAGGCACATGCCACTATGCCCAGCTAGTTTTTTGTGGTTGGTTTTGTTTTGTTTTTGCAGAGACCAGGTCTTGCTATGTTGTCTGAACTCAAGCAATTCTCCTGCCCTAGCCTCCCAAAGTGCTGGGATTACAGGCATGAGCCACCATGCCTACTAATTTAAACTGAAGAGTATGTGTGCGAATAAAACCTGAATTTGTTGATCTGAGTACACTTCCCAGTGACTCTGGTTTCAATGGACTATCCAAATTGATTCACTGGCATCTGGACTCAGCTAAATAAAGATGAATAGGAGGAAATTCCTTGTATGTGTACAGGAAATAATTCAAGGAATCTCTCCTAACTGTGGCCCCTGAGAGGACCTCCACCAAAGCTTTCAGAGAATCATTAGTTAAGGAAGTACCACCATCTATGAAGAGCACCACAGCACTGCTCTATGCCTGGGGATCCTGTGAAAGACACTATCAGAAAGGGATGGGCAGTAGTGAGAAACTGCCAGGGGGGAACACACCTCATCAACAAGGGTACCTGCATAATGAACATTTGTGTTCCTAACCCTGAATAGTACCCCACATCTTTAAAATAAAATATATAAAAAGAAAGACACTATAGTCAAAAGGAGCTCCCTGGCTTAAATAAGGTTGGAAGTCAGGGTTGGCAGAGGATAAACAGTGGTAACTGTAAGACTTACCCTTCAGTGCCAAGGAGGACTTGGTAAAGTCATGAACAGTGACACATGTGAACTTCAGACTACTGTGACCCTTAGATATTTTGCTGGTGGCTGAGCATTCAACTGAGATCTGGTTTGATATGTAGGACAAACAAAATTTCTAAGTCTGGTGAACAAAAGCTAGATTAAAATCCCCTACAAATATTCCCAGACCTGAACCTGTCCCCAAAGACAGCCAGACACATTTGACTAAAGGAAGAGTGAGTGCCATGTCTGCTCTTAATAAAAAAGGGCAATGGGTTTTAGTGTCCCGTGCTCAGTGGTACTTGTTGCTGTTCCTTAAAAAAAAATTTTCCCAATCCGTGGATCACAACACCATGGTTAGCCACAAATGGATAACAAGTGGCCTGGTCACAAAAGATTGATGATTGCAAATATTTTATATTGTTTTTTTAATTTTAAACACTTTTACCACCATTAAAAATCGGTATTCAAAAAAAGAAATATTTAGGTATAAATCTAACAAAATATGCACAAGACCTATATAAGAAAAACTAAATAATTCTGATTAAAGAAATTAAATAACTGAATAAATAGTCCATGTTCATGAATAGGAAGCACAACATTGTTCAGATGTCAGTTCTTCCCAAGTTGATCTACAAATTCAGTGCAAGCCAAATCAAAACCTGAGCAAGTTGTTTTGTGGATATTAACAAACTTTATCTAATGTTTCTATATAAAGGCAAAGGATTTAGATTAGCCAACACAATACTGAGAAAAACAAAGTCAGAAGAATGCCGCTAACTGACCTTGACTTAATATAGCCAGGCACAGTAGTTCAGGCCTGTAATCTCAGCATTTTGGAAGACTGAAGCAGGAGAATCGCTTGAGCCTAGGAATTCAAAGCAACAGTGAGTCATCATTGTGCCACTGAACTCCAGCCTGGGTGACAGTGTGAGATACTATCTCTAAAAAAGTAAAGAAAAATAAAGACAATATAAAGCTACAGTGATCAAGACAATATGGTGTTGGCAGAACAGCCAAGTAAATCAGTGGAACAGAATATGCAGCCCAGAAAAAGACCCACGCAAATATAGTCAATTGATCTTTGACAAAGCAAAATCAATCCAATGGAGAAAGGATAGTCTTTTCAAAAAATGGTGCTAAAGAAACTGAACACCCACATGCAAAAAACTGAGTCTAGATACAAACTTCACACTGTTCACAAAAATTGTAAAAATAAATCATAGACTTAGATGTAAACTATAAAACTTCTAGAAGATACCATAGGTAATCTTAAGTTTGGTGATGACTTTTTCAATGCAACACCAAAAGCATGCTAAGTTGGATTTCATTAAAATGTAAAACTTTTGCTCTGGGAAAGACACTATTAAGAGAATAGACAAGCCATAGACTAGAAGAAAATATTTGCAAACACATATGAGATAAAAGATTTGCATCCAAAATATATATTAAAAACTCTTAAAACTTAACAATATGAAAACAAATAATCCAATTTTTTTTAAT